TACAAACATATAGGTATATTAATTCATTAATACAAACATATACATGCAATTCGGTACATACATTTTGGTACACACATTTGATTTTTTTTTTTTTTTTAGTACAACGATATATTTTACATTAAGGAGAGGGGGTTCGGCTAAGCTACACAATGGATAACTTAATTTGGTACCGAATTCGTCATCCATGAGATTCGAACCTAATACCTCTCATTTGGATATTGACTTTCATGTACATTAATTCAATATACTATATTTCGGTACATACATTTCGGTACATACATTTAGGTATTGACATTTAGGTACATTAATTCAATTAATACATTTCGGTATGTATATTTTGGTACGTACATTTCGGTACATATATTTAGGTACGTATATTTCGGTACGTACATATCGGTACGTATATTTCAGTACGTACATATCAGTACATAGATTTCGGTATTGATATTTAGGTACATTAATTCAATATAATACATTTCGGTATATACATTTAGGTTCATTATAATATATTTCGGTACAATCATGTAGGTACAAAAAAGTCAATTATATACATTTCGGCAAAGTATAATCATGTATTTATATATTTTGTATCACAAATTTCTTTTAATATTTTCTCATTTATGTTCATTTATAATTAAAGAACTAAATATGTGCATATTAATAAAATTAAAATTCATTGTGGAGAGATTAAATAAAAATACACATTAAATAACAAAAATTCAATATAAATTTTGATAAAAGTACACTTCAAGGGATTAAATTGAATATGTAATCTAGTACTAGTTGTTTTTTTTTTTTTTTTTTTAATTTTAATCTTTTGCAATGACTAATATTCAAAAACCCCTTTATTCATCCAATACTTCGGTGAGACATGATGTCACATCCCAATATTTACAACCTTCTGCTGAAGCTCGCATTAATTCTACTTTAAGTCATGTTATACTTACAAAAGTACTTGATTAGAACTTCAATAGTAATATTACATTGCATAAACTTGCTTTTTTTCTTAACATACGATAATGTGAAACTTCAAAAATATTCAACAGCCACATCATGTAGAAAAATTTACAGCCCAAAAGAAACAAATTTACCAAAACTAACATATCAAACACTAGAGAGAAAACATCTACCAATTTCCAATTGAAGAAAAATAACTAGTCACATTAAGATGGTTTATTGCACACGACATGTTTGATTCATCTTTCATTTTATTTGCAAATTCTTAGGTACGAGTCAAAGTTTATCAAAGATATTGTTAAAGTGATTCGTGATAAGCTAAGTCGCACACACTTGAGCGTTGAATCAAAACTGGTAGGAATCCATTCTCGAGTCGAACACATCAATTTATGGTTACAAGATCCATCACATGATGTTGGTGTACTTGTTGTTTATGGGCTGCCTGGAATAGGGAAGACAACCATTGCAAAATGTGTTTACAATTCAAACTTTGAAAGTTTTGAAGGAAGCAGCTATGTTGAAAGTATCAGAGAAACTGCAAGTCATCCAGACGGCTTAGTTCAAATACAAAAGCAAATTCTTTGTGATATTTTAAATGGGAAAAAAGAGAAAATACACAATGTCAGTGAGGGAATAATTAAGATTGGAAGAGCCATAAGCTTGAGAAGAGTTCTTCTTGTTCTTGATGATGTGGACCATATGGACCAATTTGATGCAGTACTCAGAATGAAAGATCAGTTTTATCCTGGAAGTAAAATAATCATAACAACTAGGCGTAAAAGGTTGCTAAAGGTACATGAAGGTATTACGGTGCATGAAGTTGGACCGTTGGGTTTCGATGAATCAATGGAGCTCTTAAGCCAGCATGCTTTTGGCCAGGATCATCCCCTTGAAGGTTATGAGAAATATTCTGAGGAAGTCGTACAACACAGCGGAAGACTTCCATTAGCTCTCAAAGTTTTGGGTTCTTCTCTTTTCGGGGTACCTAAGCGTGTATGGAAAAGTACATTGGAGAAGTTAAAAGTTATTCCAAATGGTGAAATCATGAATAAATTGAGAATAAGCTACGACTCTTTACAAGATGACCATGACCAGAAATTATTCCTCCATATTGCTTGTTTCTTTATTGGAAAGGATGAAGATTACATTGTCAGAATACTAGATGGATGTGATTTCAAGACAATCTGTGGCATTCAAAATCTCAGAGATAGGTGCTTGGTGACAATTGATAGGGACAACAAGTTGTCTATGCATGACATGATTCGTGACATGGGACGAGAAATTGTTCGCCGAGAATCATATGAGCCTGAGAATCGTAGTAGATTGTGGTGCTCTCAGGATTCTTTCGAAGTATTGAGAGAAAAGAATGTAAGAAATGTTCATTGTGTGTGTGTTTTTCTTTTTCTCTTGTGCTAATTAACCAATTGTTTTTCCGATTTCTTTTATAGGGTACGCAAGCAATTGAAGGTCTTATGCTGGACATGCATGAACAGCTTACGAACAGCCCCATAAACTCAAACGAGAATGTCTTGGAAACCAATTCATTTGCAAGGATGCACAAACTGAAACTGCTCTGTCTTAGACATGTACAACTGGACGGATGTTATGCAGAACTTCCGACAAGGTTAAGATGGTTGTGCTGGCTCGAATTTCCTTTGGATTCAATTCCTGTTGATTTTTCTTTGAAGAAATTGGTAGTACTTGAAATGCAATATAGCAACTTGAGACAACTCTGCAAAAAAGCAAACGTATGTTACCCTACGCTTTTCAATCTGTTTTCCTTCTTTCTTTAGGTTTTAATTCTTTAATTAATTTCATATGTTGGAATCAACTCCTAGTTATTTTTTTGTTTTTTATTTTTATTTGTTTCCAGTTTTTTCCTTCGTTGAAGATCCTTGACGTCAGCCATTCCCATGGCCTTACTGAAATCATTGACTTCTCACTTTGCCCCAAACTAGAGGAATTGATTCTTGTGGATTGCACCAGCCTGATTGATGTTCATGAATCCATTGGAAACCTGGAGAGACTCGTGTACTTGAATATGAGGGATTGCAAGAATCTTAGGATGCTTCCGAAGAACATGTGCATGCTTAAATCACTTGAAACACTCATTTTATCTGGTTGCTCAAATCTTGATGAGTTTCCAGTGGAGATGATGAAGGAGATGGAGTCTCTAGAGGTTCTTGCAACAGATGGAATTCCATTAAGGCCAGAAAGAAGTTCAACTATCTTGAGTTTTTTTCCATGCTCTTTAGTAAAGTTAAGCCTGAAGGGGTGCAATCTTTCTGATGATGTCTTTCCTACGCATTTAAGTAATCTATCCTACTTGCGAAGCCTACATTTGGATGAGAATCCAATTTGCAGTCTGCCAGTTTTCATCAAAGGTTTGAGAAGGCTCGATTATCTATCTTTCCAGGATTGTAATAGGCTCGAATCGCTTGTGGGGTTGCCAAAAGTGCACCAATATACAAGTATAGAAGGATGCATATCATTAAGAAAAATAAAATATCTTCCCAATGAGCAACGGTCTAGATGGTACCATGTGAGTGACAACGACAATCTAGTTGAGTGGGAGAATACATACAAGATAGAGCCTATTGATAGAGTTGATGTGGAAATAATCAAACTTTTGGGCTTGTGTAACTTGGAATCCATGCCAACTGTTCGAATGCGTCATCCATACACACGCTGGGGTCCAAAAGAGGTCCCGGTCCAGGTGCGCCTCTCTTTCTCTCTCTCGTAAGTCTTAAATATATAATGGGAAAGAAATGACTGAGTAATGTTGTGATGATTATGGCAAATACATAGGGACTGTATCAATATGGTATATTCAGCACATTTTTTGCTGGGAATGAGGTTCCAGGCCGGTTCAGTTATAAAAGTACCAAGTCCTCCATATCTTTTATATTCCCTTTACTACTTGCTAGTCACAGAATTCGAGGCTTGAACATCTTTGCTACCTATGCAAACGAGGGGAATTATAATGATCTATCGCCCATATATCAACCAATACTGACTAAAGTGAGTAACAAGAGCAAGGGTCTGAAGTGGATCTATCGCCCAGATTTCTATGGAATTCCAGGAGAGGGAGAAGATATGATATGGTTGAGCCATTGGAAGATGGAGAACGAAACAATATTACAATGTGGAGATCAAGTGGTGGTTTCTGTAGTGGCCGATGAGTTGATTATAAAGGAGTTTGGTGTCGAGCTTGTGCAAGAACACCAGAATAATATAATGATAAGTACCCAACACAACACCAAATCAGATCCTAATTATCCATGTGTCATCGGTGGAGATTTGTCCATGTGGGAGCATATACCAGGAATATACTTCCTTGGTTACTGTAATGAATATGTTGAACAGACTACGAAATCTCCGCAGGGAATTTTAAATCGCCTCATCATGGACGCTGATGAAGAAGACACAGGTATGCTATGTTGTTGTATTGGAATGAATTATACTCCATCCAAACACTTCCAAGTCCGTCTGTATTCAATTCAAAAACATAAATTTTATGTTATTTGTATGTTTTTCAGACAAAGAAGAAGTGCAAGAGAAGGAACCTAATTACACAATTGGAAGGACGAGGTATGCCAGTAGCAATTGCAGCCTCAGAGACTGGAAGGTGCTCCTCACAGCGTCCGGCTTATTTTTCACGCTTGCCCTAGTAGTTTGGTCCTCCATCTCCCAGAAAAAGAAGCGACAGTAGTCCATAAGCGATCCATGAGTTTGTAATTTTTCTTGATACAGACATCTTTGGATTCCCTCCTTGTTTTCAAGATGTTGTCCGCCTTCAAAATTTCGGGTTCACAGCTAAGCGCTTAACCGCTTGAGATATAGAAACCCCTAGCAATTAGATATCGAAGTTCAAATATGTTCCACATCATCAGATATTGCATAGCTCAAATGTGTTCAACAGCATCAAATACTGATACATCCAGCATTAGCGAAGCTATTTCGGCACCGTGGAAAGCAAAACCATCCTATTTGCTTATAAATGTCAAAGTTACATATCTTAATTGTCATTTACAACAAAATCATGCTTCTTAAAGACTCAACTCCCATTGAAATATTGTGTAAATAAGTATAACAGATACAAGATTGAATAATATATCAAACAAATAAACAGCAGACAATTGCATCACTACTACACTACGGAGCTGGTTTCTGCTTCTTCAACCTGAATTATTAGGGTCAGGAAGCATTAGGAGGAACATCTGTCTCTACAAGCTGAGATTCCTAGCCCACTACAAGCTGCTGAGACAATGCAGTGTCGTTGACTTCAATAGACGCAGATACAGATTGTTTGAATGAAACTTCCCTCATGACGCAGATACAGACGAGTCCAAATTGTTGGAAAATCATTAAAGTTAATGGCGCATGAAGAGTACTGAAACACTCACAGCCCTCGCACACTGGTTGCATGATTTATTCTTATAGCAATAAAAGGCACAAATTCGTCAAGTCACATCAGGGCCATCCAAAAAGAAAATTGAAGCAAACACCACAAACAACCCAAAATTTGCTCAAACGCAATATCAAATTAATTATAAACAGCATCCATCCCAAACAATGAATTTGTACCTCATTTGGGAGTTAAAATAGCACATGGAAAAATTGTAAATTCCATGGGACATTTAATTCCAATGAATGTATAAATGGGTCCTCAGATTAGTATAGAATTATACTTGACCACAATTATATGCAATCAGTACCTTTCCCTTTGCAGTGTTCTCCCCCACAGGAACCTGCACATCAATAACTCGTGTTTAAATTACTAAATGTTAAAAACCAATCTTGTTATGATGTTAAAAATATGAAGCACAAATGTATCTGAGCATGCGCGTGAGACCTTGGGAACTCTGAAATTTTCATTTTTTCAATTTAGATTTAAGAGTTAATGTCTTACAGTGCCAAATACAGCAACTGCTAATTTCCACATCTGCATCTGCCCAACCATTCTGCTTGGGTCTTTTATATAAGAAGCAACTTGTTAACAAGTTAGTCATAGGGAAAGGCATGTTTACAAGTTCAATTATAGAACCAGACCTGATTAAAAGCATGCGGCTCGCTTTTAATATCAGCAGCGCCTGTGGCCACCTCCGTCTTCCTCTGCCATTTGTCTATCAATTTGTTTCTGAAAGTATGTATTCTACAAGATACAACGTGATAGGCCTTAGTTAGACCAAGTAACCCACATGGTAATGCACATACTAATGAAAAGTTGAACATAGTAGAATAAATTCCTAAAATTCATGCAAGAAAAGTTATTGGAGCATGAAAGAATTTATACAGAACTACCCAAGAGTATACTTAAAATAAACATACGGCAACATAGATTTTTACAAGTATAATGTACAAATGAATTTCATGGTTCTCTGCCGGCCCCTTTAGATAACAAACTAATTTAATTTAGTACCTAATGGAATTTAAAGGTCAGAAAGCAATCGTCTAGTATATTTCATATTGAACAGTTGAGACAAACTTAATAACATAATAGCCTGATGTATTAACTGATAAGAACTAATTATTGAAATATAACAAAAGTTATACACTAAGGTATTGAAATACAGCAATAATAGTAAGGTACTTGAATCCACCATTTACAAGAATTTTAAACAATACAACAACAACAAAGCCTTTTCCCACTAAGTGGGGTCGGCTATATGAATCCTGAAACGCCATTGCGCTCGGTCATGTGTCACTTCTTCCAACAAGAAGTTTAAACAATAAAACAACAAAATTCCAAAGTTCTTCTTGCTACTCCAAATGGATCGGCGAAGTATGGCATGAACAATAATGTTAAACAATATTTCAGTTTTATAGATAGGCTTCAATATAACGAGAGCATATCTAGATGGTAGAATATGATTCTTCTTTTCAGAATATCCAAATTATGATCTGAGTACCTCGACAGCAACTAAGAAATCCGTGACCAATCCTCATCACCATCACCATCACCATCAATGTTCTTAGATGACTGTGACTTCTTAGATTGTCCAGATTTACCTACAGAACAGGATATGTATTAGGAGAAGCAATACATGAACATATGCAGTATGAAGTTAATGAAAACGCAAACAGTACACACTAGGACAGCCAATTAGACCATGGTAGCCCAAAAGCCTTTTTTTTTTGCTTAATCAGGCTAAGGCTTATATGAGATCAAGCGGGAAAGATTTGTGCTGACATCCTTGGCAGATTTCAAATCTGGCTTCATCTTCGCTATCCTCAGATCAGAAAACAAGACTCAACTGATTTACCTTCTAGAGTGGTTATTTAATTGATGTTTCCTTGAAAGCTGTAATCAAAATCACAAAGTGTCTACGTTTTATTGATCTACTCTGAACTTCCCACCTAATACGCGTAAACCATCACATATTTGGATTGGCTTGTTTTCAATAACCTAATCATTAAAATTCTAAATAAGAAAAACTTCCAACTATTTCTAAAAAAGAACATTTCAGACTCCAGTTAATTTAGGCAGGACTGAGGAGATAAAGATGAGTATTTTCTTCCTTGACCAACCAAATAATGGAAGAGAAGGAATTTCTCCCCTTCGTTTTCCCCTCCTTGCAGACTACACAAGCCATTCAGAAAGGAAGAAATCTCATTCGTGCATTGTCAACTCAATAGCAATCCACTTATTTAATTCCTCTTGTAGCCATATCTTCTAACCCAACCCAACCCAAATTATATGCAGTTTATTTAACAATGCAATCAATTTCCAAGAATAAGGTCCAAATATGTGACCCTTAATCCTGGATGTCTATATTTCTATCGAATGGAACAATTTGCAATAACACTATGTTTGCTAGTACTTAACATAAATACTTACACCAACAACAACAACAACAAAAGATTGGCACAAAAAGCATAGGTCCGTAAAACACGTAGTACTTACCACATGCAATGAATGACACCCTCAGAAGCTGATGCTTCTAGGTTATCATATACGTAACTGCAAACTTGGTTTCTTCAAGGAGAGTGAAGCGAAGCCCCTCCTCGAAAGAGGGACAAGCGGAATGGCTTCAGTATCGGTAAAGAAAGAAAGAAAAGGTAAGAAAAATACCTCATCCGAAACATATAGGCAATAGTTATACTAAAACAGCAATTAATTGAAACCATTGAAGGGGAAAAAAAAGCAAAGGTGGATAAAAACTTAGAATTCAACAAAGATTGTGTTCCCAACCTAAATACATTATAAACTTAACAATTAAACTGCAAAATTAACAACAATTAAACAAACTAACAAACTGAAAACCCACAAAAAAAAAAAAAGGGATGAATCCCCAAAATGAGAGAGAATGAAACAAATAAGGGAGTAAACAGAGGGAGAGGGATGAATACCCCAAAACCTGACCTAACGTACTAAAAAATTCAAAAATCTAAGCTAACAGTAAAGAATCCAATTTAAAAAATGAACTTATCTTTGGAAATCCAGGCAAGCAGCACAAGATCCGGCACACACCACCCTCAGTTGCCTCTGTTCATGACCCCTACCCCTCTCCCTGAAATCCTGACGACCCATATGGTTTTCTCTGACCATCCTCACTCTCCCACTTGTGAAATCCATCTGCAGAAACAGCGCTGAGACCCCTACCCCTACCCCTCGCTCACTTTCCATCTCTCTCTCTCTCTCTCTCTCTCTCTCTCTCTCTCTCCATACAAATCTATACAAACCCACCTTCTAGCAAAACAAAGTTCATTATCTACATAGATTTCAAATTTCAATTCAATAGATTACGTAAAATACTCCAAACCAAAATCGGATAGCATTCATAAGGTAAAACTACTTACTTCATGAGAATGTCATAGTTCTCGGGATCCAAAGAAGAAAACATTACATCCACATCTTTAATAGCCATGATAGCTCTATCCACGATTATCCAATTTGCAGACTGCAAAACTCAAAAAATAAAAAAAATCTCATCACTTTCTTTTCATTCCACACCAAACAGGACACTTAAGATTATAATTAAACACGGGAACAATTCCGATTGGTACCGAAGAAAACCACTGGAAAAACAATAAGAAAAGAAAGTTCTAAACTTGCAATTCAATTTTCTATTCCACCGATTGATTTTCTCGGCAACCAAACAGAAGATTAGCAAAAGAGAAAAGACAAACCTTGCAGCGCTCGTCTTTGGTGTTGAGAGGCGAGCCTTCAAGAGCAGTTTTTAGAGCTTCAACTGTCTTCTACCTATATGAAAAACGGATCAAACAGTTAAGGTTTTTGGGGAATTACCAAATCATTAAGGGGTTCTACAGAAAATTGAATGTACAAAGGGGAAAGGATTTGGAGTGATACAGTTTGAGTAAGCTCTCGATCTTTCAAGATTTTGTTCGATTCTGTTGATTATGGCCATCCCTCTCTCCCTCTCCCTCGCCCTTTCTCTTATTTGTTCCACTATTTAGCTATTCAATTTTTTTTTTTTTTAATCTCCAATAACATTGTTTATTTTAACAAATTTAAATATTTTATTATAAACAATTCAAATTCAACCCACTCTTTTTCTAGACGAATCTTATCTCTCTTTATGTTCTTCTTGCTCAAGTTCCACTTTTGAATTTTATTACTTTTTTAATATTTAGATGATGAATAGTTGCTCTGTAAATTATTTTTCTATAATATAAACTCTTTTATAGAATATGTTGGAGATGTGTCTTTTATTTATACAAATAAATAAAAATTTATAAAAAGAAAAAAAGCTTAAAAAACATATGGGAAAAATTCTTCGTAGATGTGTATCTTCAAATTTGTATGTTCGTGACTCATCTAGTTTGCATTGCTATTTTGCTAGGTGCTCAGTGAGCTCTGTGTTCCACCAAATTGCTTTTGTTTTGTTCTTCGGTCAAATGGCCTCCAAGCCCCAACAGATAAGAATCATAAGATCACCACTCCACAAAATCCCGTAAATCAAAGCAAAACACAAGGTCAATATCGTCATTCCAACCAAACGGTGATAATTAATAGCTCAAATGTACTAGGTACTTCTGAGTCTTATATGCCTACAATATATCCCGTTTTGTCGAATTTCGACGGCGGGTGTGAACACCCATGTGGGTATGGTGAGAAAAGAGGGGGTGAGAATTGGAATTCTGGGTATTTTGTGGGTAACCCTGTTGCTGCCGTGGCTCAATCTTGTCATGAAAGCAATGTTTTTTCCTGTCCAATGCAAACCCAGATCAATGTCTCCGTGCTTAACTCTGTTGCTGCCGTGCTTAACTCCTTCACGCACTCCATGTCTTCGGAGGTGCTTAACTCGAAGGTGGAGAATGTGAAGAAAAGAAAGAGTACTCATTCTCAAGGGTCTTCTTCTCCTTCAGGATTTGCATCATCACCACCAAAACCGTTGAATGAAAAAGCCTCAGTGAGTGCATTGCATTCGCGGGGGTATAGCATTGGTTCTTTCCATGAGGAGAACATGATGAGAAGAAAGAGTCATCCTCTTCCTGCTCCGTCTACATCACTAACACCCAAATATTATATGTTACATAAGGACTTGTTCGTTTCAAGACTAGCACACTTGCATGACCACCCAACCTATCTTGAAGTATACAGGAGAATTTAAGCAGCACACGTGTGCCTTCCTGGAGATTGTTGTTTGCATTTTCTTGGTTCTACTCAATTCTTTTAGATCAAATAACCACTCTTTGATTTTATATAAGTGAGTTTTAAAGGAATTTTTTCACACAACAAAATTTTCAATGAAAAACACATTAATGATTTTTAATGAAAATTTTGAAAAAGCTTATGTTTTATGAAGAAACGATTGCTGGTGTCAACTTTAACTTAATTGTGATACTATCACTCCACCTAAACTTTAACTTATTTACAATATTGTCATCGTCTTTTGTTATTGTAATTAAAGAAAATTCATTGTATGTTTTTGGATTAAGATTTGAGGTTCTTTTCATTAGTTTTTCTTTATGCAAATGGTGTTAAAAGAAGAGCAAAAATGGAAAAGAAAAAGAGTTGTTCCAACCGTATACATCTTTGTATGTCACTCCCTACACTATAAATAAGAATTAGGACCAAAGTC